GAACATAAACATAAATGATCGTGGTGAAGATGATGATTAAATTAGGATTAAAAATCGGTAGTGAGAGCTGCTGAATTTCCTCCCGTCGGATGTGATATAAAAACAAATCGATTATTTTTGTAGTTGTAAACTCAAGTGGATGAAACTACATTTATTAGTGCTTTCATGTCAATTCGGCGAACATATGATACATTAAATGATCGTGAGGAAGATGATTTAAAAATCGTTTGTTTGAGCCGGTCTGCATTTCCTGATGAGAAAACAAACCGATGCTTTTTGTAGTTGTAGTACACCAACATGGATTAAACGTGTGTTTTTTTTACCACAATGTTGGGGAAATTAATGGATAAAATGCACGGATTATTATTATTATTATTATTATGCCCACTCCGATCGGAACACTAGGTCCACCGTTTCCCCGCAGCGAGGCTCCTCCCGTTTACGTGGGCTGGGCTGGGTGCAGTGGCGGACTGGCCATCGGGACGAATCCCGATGGGCCGGTACCGAAGTGGGCCGGTCGGATAAGTCACTAGCACATCCCCCACTCCCCCCGTTGACAATTTACTAGTTGTACCGAAGTGGGCCGGTCGAGAGTCCCGGGCTGATCTTTAGTCCCAGTCCACCACTGGCTACATGACCGTATGATCGCCCATATTGACGCACCTAATTCCTAAACTTCTAACAGATACAACATAAACCGATCCTTCAGCCTCATATGAGCTCTCAGACACGTTCAAAATTAAACTGTCATCGCTGTCTGAGCTTGCTGCTGTGTGCGCCATCGTGCGTTTACATGCAGATGCTGGGATCCTGAACGGTACAGCTGGAGCGCTTGGCCCGCAATGACGTCACACATAATTTGGCGGGACTTGAAGAATCCCCGAGAAGATCCAGAAAATGGTCAACATTGAAGGGCAGATTAATGGTTATCAAAGTACAAATATCCAAAATCAGTTCAGTAACGGTTTTCAAGGGGACAATATTTACTCAAATTGATGGGTTTGGATGATGGGGGAAAATCGTGTCACAGGCTCTTTAAGTGATATCTACAGCAGGCACTGCATTTGAGTTCTGGATTAATGATAAGATATTTGTTCGGTGAATACTAAAAATGAATGTCCAATCGTTCTGTCCCCAGCTGCTTTCATCCGTGTGGTGGGCTCTGAGTTTGTTCAGAAGTATTTGGGTGAAGGCCCTCGTATGGTGCGTGATGTCTTCCGGCTGGCGAAGGAAAATGCACCAGCCATCATCTTTATTGATGAAATCGATGCCATCGCCACCAAGCGTTTTGATGCACAGACAGGAGGTATGAACATGTGTGGCTCAAATGAATACTCTGTTTATAAACCAATGTTTTGTTGTACATTAGATTTTTTAAGCACATGTTACTGTAGTTTTTCTCATAGACGTCTAGATTCCTATTTTAGGATATGTTCTTATTCACTGATCACATCCTTGTTAATGCAGAAACACAATGGTTGACAAATGTTTTCTGACCTTGAATGTTTCGCTGTGCAGCTGACAGGGAGGTGCAGAGAATCCTTCTGGAGCTGCTGAATCAAATGGACGGCTTTGACCAGAACGTCAATGTCAAGGTGAGCTAAGTCCACCTGCCTGTAAAGCTCTTTCCTTTCCCCCTGTGACTGCACCATTTCCATTTGTACTGAATCATTGCATCATTGCTGGTGCATGAACACCGACACTGCAGCCATTCATTCTCCTTTCATATGTCCATTCATTCCCCTTAGCAGGCACCCAGGAGGTTTATGTTTTTCAACTTCAAACCCTATTTTATTTAGTCTTAAATATAACTGCAGCATCACAATGTTTTAATGAGAACATATCAACATAAAAAAAGGCAAAACTATTTGATTAACAATAAGTTTGTTATTCCTCTTTAGAGCCCCGTGATGTGCACTTTGTCCAGTAGTGACCGTTGTATGTGGAACCCAAAGCAACCCCATAACACAGTATGTTCACGTACCATCTGACTTGCTTTTGGACCTGTCTTAGGTGATCATGGCCACCAACAGAGCAGACACGCTGGACCCGGCTCTGCTACGTCCTGGTCGTCTGGACAGAAAGATTGAGTTCCCCCTGCCCGACCGCAGGCAGAAACGTCTTGTTTTCTCCACCATCACCAGCAATATGAACCTCTCTGAGGAGGTCGACCTGGAGGACTGTATCCTTTTATTTCAATAAGGGCACATTCTAAGTTTCTGTTGAGACATTTCTGCAATGTCATGAAAACATTTTTGCCCAAACCTCTCATTTTGGGCCTCATTCTGTCCTTTGGTGGGCAGTTTACTGTCTGGAACATGTGATGAATTCTAAATCAGTGCATTTTTAAGGAGGCATATTTTTCTGATAAATGGAAGTCGGCTTAATGTTAGGGATGCTCAATCTTATCGTGCTATCTCACGCTAAAATAAAGCCAGTTTTTACAGTAAAAAACCGTAAAGCCATCATTTAATACCAGATCTAGGTAACTCCTGTACCTTTCTTTTAGTGTTAATCTCCCAGATTTATGAATGTGGACGTTCACACTATCTGGCCTTTTACTCGAAACACAGGGCTTTGACAGCAGGAACTCATCAACTGTTCCTGTGGTTATTTGTTGCCGTTGCAGTTCTTTGCAACACTTTGGCTTTATTTGTTTGCAAATGTAACACATAGCTCTGAATGTGAGATGACACACTCGCATGGCATTTTGATCTGATAACATCTTTCATTGCATGCCACCAGACTTCCTTGATTGTTGATGACAAGTAGAGAAATAATGAACACGCGCAACAAGGGTGGCAGTGTGCACCCAGATGTTCTGTGTTTTGGTGTTGTTCAGTTGTCCTTAACAGATGTACAGATGTGGCTAGACCAGACAAGATCTCTGGAGCCGACATCAACTCCATCTGCCAGGAGGTGAGCTAGAGCTTTAATTATCTGTTCATTTAACCCTTTCTTTACTTTTGGTAGAGCAGTGTAAATCTGTGTATTTGCTTTTCCTAATTTTCTCTGTCTTTTTCTTTCTTTGCCTGCTTTCTCAGGCTGGCATGTTGGCAGTCCGTGAGAACAGGTATATCGTCCTGGCCAAAGACTTTGAAAAAGCTTACAAAACCGTCATCAAGAAGGACGAGCAGGAGCACGAGTTCTACAAGTAGAGAGTAAAAAAACCACATCCTAGGGAACAAAGAAAGGTGTCCAAACACAGGAGTTTGTTATTGATTTACGTCCGTGTCTCTATCTACAGTATGTCTTTTGTGGATTTGCATTCACTGACTTCCATTGATTTTGGACTAAATGTACTCACTGCTGCAGAAGGCCTAATGTCAGATTAGCCCTGTACCTCCTTAAGACGCACCACCATGTGAAGGAGTGATTTGTGCACAGGCTCTCTACTGACTCCTAAAGATAAGGCCTCAAAACGTAGCTAGGATAGAACATTTGTATCTATATGTACTCACTTAACAATACATTACAAAAAACCATTAAAGATGTTTTCCATAAAAAAACAAACAAAATGATTGTCATTGTTTTTTTGAGCCTTTTTTAAATGCCATTTAGATACTACCATACTATATTTATAAAACTAACATTGTTGCGTTACGATTTTTGCTCATCAACAAAATATTTTAGTTGGAGCTGCAACAAATGCATTTATCAATCAGTTGAAGGAAAATACATTTTTTTATTTAAATCTTTTTGTTTCTTATGACATTTTTAAAAACAAAACAATTATAATTATTAACTGTTCCCAATGTGAGCTTTGTTCTATTATGATATTACTTTTAAGATTTTTGACTTTTGGTTGGACAAAAGAAGACATTTTAATATGTCACCTAAGGCTTTTTAAAAATGGTGGTTGGTCATTTTAAGTAAAACTATTTTACAACCAAAAATGGCAACAACAAAAAAAAAGGATAAGGTAAGTATCATCAGTCATAAAATGGGTTTTAGCCTGATGATTATTTGTCAAATATAAAACATAACTCAGATACACACTGAAAGATATATGCTGGTATCACATCAAACATCGGACTCAACATTCATTCATTCACCAACATTGGCGGTTAGTAGAGAAGGCCATACATCATATACATGTACTGTTTTGTGGATGTCCTCCAGTCAGTGTTCTGATCTTGACAGAGTCGAGTCATATGGATGCCAGTGCTGGGCCGGGCGTCTCGCCTAGTGCTTAAATGCTGTCTTCCATGCTGTTCCGGTGCCCTCTGCTTCTCTTCTCTCGAGCCAGCCCATGAGTCGAAGCAGTGCAGCCTGAGGTTGCAGCTCTCCCTTCAGCCACAAGTGGGGGGGAGATGATTCATTATTACACCCACGTGGCAATGTCGGTAAATCCAATGCACATCAAGCTCAACCAAAAGCATGACCTTTGTCAACCGATAGTACATATTTATTTTGACAGTTAAATGTCCAAAGTCCCTTGAGGGATGCTCTGATTCTACTGTAGTGCATTTAATTGAAGCCAAAATGAGAATGGAATAAACAAATTGTATTTATCTGACCAAAAGTGTCACCATTATATGCTGTTACATCACAATTTACAAATAAAAATAAAAAACAGTATGGGGTCCATTAAAACGTGGGAATACCCCTGAATATGACTTTGAAATGAAAGGAGTGGTACTCACATGTGTTTCACTTGGTCTCTGGTGGGAAGGCTATAAGTGACCTGGTCAAAATAGTATGGACAGAGATGCAGGGTTGCCTGTACTGGCTGTTGGGACATCCAGGGAAAGATTTGATCCAGGTTGTGGTTTTGTCCAACATACATTCCGGAAAAGTGTCTCGACCACATGGCTGATGCCAAAGCATCCATGATGGTTTGATTTCCTGAAGGCCTGTGAGGGAATAACTGGTACAGAGGTGGGTGGACTGCCATTTCCCCAGCTCTGTCCAATCAAAGACACACACGATGAAAATGAGTCTACTGCCAGCCACAGAAAAAAAGTGCTTTTGTATTTATTGCCATGTTATTACACAAAATGTTTGGCTATTATTAATCTGAACTGGCACTGTCTTTTCAAATGATGCACGTATGGAATTATGATCAGAGGTCGAAGAAAGATTTAGAACTTCTAAGTCAATGCTCTGTTACTAGTACAAGTAATATTTTTTTTATATTGAGTACAAAACATTGATGCATTCATTCATTTATATCATCACTTCTTCCTGCTAGTGTTTTAAACATTGATTCATTATGATAGATCATGTTATTTGTTTATTATACATTTTCATTAATACAAGTGTACTAAGTATTTAAACAAGTAGCAGTAAGCTCAAGAGCAGAGCAATCCCATCGAGCAACATTTGGAAATAAGTAAACTAGGACTGGAGTAATGAAGAAGCCAACTTAGTTACTTTCCACAACTGATTATGATTTATTAGAAACAAATTCAATAATCAAAACAATAAATTGTTATTTACCTTAACCAAGAAATGTGATTTCCTGTTATGCTGTGTGACATTTCTGTTGTCTTTTATATCTGTTATTCTGTTCTAGAACATGTGGCTTTTTTAAATAATGACTCAGGTGAATCATACTGTATTCATATATTTAAAACAATACAAACAGACCTTGTAACAGCGATTACATTGGTAACCACAGCACGAGCAGTTAAACCATACGGCGTGGCAAACATGTGTTTGATGAGATTGTTTGTATGGTAGATATTAAAATGTATTTGTTCTTTTGTAATTGTTAAAAGGCACATTTTGGGAAAATAAGCCTTAAAATACACAAACTGTGAGCAGGCTAGTCAAGGCCTAACTGGCCTTTTTTGTGCAAAGCTATGCATAACATACTTTATACCAGATGTGGAAGAAGTACTTAAATTATTATTTTAAGTAAAAGTAATGCCACAGTGTAAAAATACTCAGTTACAAGTAAAGGTCCTGCATTGAATTGTGTACATAAGTAAAATGATTAGCATTAGTTACAGTCTACTTTAAGGAGCAAACGTAAAAGCAGTTGTTCTGCAGAAAGACACATCTAAATACCAGATCTTTTTTCCTTAAAAATGATTGGTGCATTAATGTGTTCATAATGTCAATGTTGCACTTGGTATAGGTTTCATTTGAATTACATTATACACTAGGCCTACTAGCTTAAGCTATAATAATATGATCCTAATTGTTTCGATTTTATTTTATATAAATAATTTAAATCCGCAAAGTCAATTAAATATGTAAGATAAATGTAGTGGAGTAAAAAGTACAGCATTTGCCAACAAAATGTAGTGGAGTAGAAGTACAAACTAGTATAATGTAAAAATAGTAAAGTACCTCAAAATGGTACTTTTGCACAGCAATTGAGTAAATGTACTTTGTTAATATCCACCACTGCTTTAATACCACTGTTATATTGACGAATTTATCCCAGTGCTACAACTAAGTTACTTACAGCTATCTGAGGCACTGTACTTGAATAGCCACGTGTAAAACCGAGTTAATACAAATTGTATAAAAAGCGTAAGTGGTTTTTTTGTGGGCACGTAGTTTCATGTTGGGTTTTCAGTGAAGGGGAGGAGGGGGAAAGGCTGTGTGACACTCAGCGCATTCGCTCTGTTGGACTACCGCACGTTACAGCGACCACACAGCATCAACTTCAAAACATATCGAAAACGGAGGAGGGAGGGTACTGTCGGGAATATAAACGGTTTACACGCTACTTCACCAGACAATGGATTAAATCAGTCCACCAGGTAAGATTAAAACAGCTAAGTATCTCGCTAAAAGATACCATAAACAGCTCCGTATTTGTGGCTGCTAGCTAGCTAACGGTAGCTAACTAACTAACGTCAGTTAACCGACTGCAGCGGCTAGCTCGGCTCGGACCGGATTGTTTCCTCTTCCCTGACACAGCTGGGGAGGATCAGGCGAAGTTGAGCATGGGAAGGAACATTTTCTCCTAAAGTTTAACAATTGTATGTGTTTCAGAAGTGTGGTTGTTTATGTTTTGGGTTAAGATGTACACGTCAGTCACAGTTTAGTTGGTTCAACGGTACCTGAAACTTAAAAGTTAACGCATAAGTTATACGCTTAATAAACGGTTTTATAACAATAGAAGACTAACGTCTTTTTTAACTTTGATTTACAAGTGTACGATAGGCCTATAAAGTGACTCATCTGGTAGCTACATTGGCAACATTGTTAAAGCTTATGTTACTAAATGTCCGCTCAACTTGGCTACGTTCACGTTAACGCACCCCCACAAAATGCTTGCACAAGTTTTAGCTAAAGCTAGTTAACAAACCACTTCAAAGTTCGCTTGCGTCTGTGTCACTGATAGGCGAACAATGGTGATTTTAAAAACTTGGTTGCAAATAAATGCTAAAGGCTTTTTCTTGTACTGTCTTAACACAATATACAGAGGAGATTTCTGTTGACATTAGCTTCGTTTTTCGCCTTTAGTTTTTTAGTAACCTACGTCGTGAATATGTCTTCTTATTCACATGATGCTGCTTATGTCCTTTCCTTTTCGTGTTAAAAAAGCACTGTGGTTTGTGGCCATTTATTTAGAAAAGGCAATCATCTTCATTTTACAAGAGACCCAAAGGACTTTATATAGTTTAGTAACTTCTTCTGTGTCACTGACATGCGCTCAATGGTGACAAACGATTTCGTAATCACTTTAAAGACTTCTGGAATGGGCAAACAACTCTGTATATGGATTGTTAACTACTCAGTATGGCATTTGCTGTTAGTAATGGACACTTAGGATATGACCCTATTGACTCATTGATTAGGCAATTTCATGCTTGTTTCTTTACGTCACATGATTCCCAGCCCCTATTCTTTATGTTTCATGTATACCCTGAGAAGAACAAAAGGTTCTACATTGCCTCCCCCTCTGAACTGTCAGATTGATTGAGTCAACACTTGAAGAGTGAGTGGAGCAGTACAGAAGGACTATTCTTTTACTTACTACTAGAAGATTGACCAAAAGTTGAACCTGTTGACTGCTGGGATGTCAGGATGATTCACTCTGTACACCTGGTTCCCTTTTTTCTTTTTCAATTCACACTTCTGTGTCAGGAGAAAGTTAAACACTGCCCATGAAATATTTGATAGCTTTTATGAACATACTTTTGCACATTTAAAATCAAGCAGTATTAAGTTAGCTGTATGTGTGTCAAACCACTTTACACTTCTGACATCTGTATTATATACCTGTCTCTGTTACTAAATTGTTGGCAGTGAATTAAGGTTGCCCTCTGCACATAACCACTGGCAGTTATTGAGATTAGTCGTAAGACTCTCTGATGTGATATTTGATGTCACTTTTGTTATCTTTTTGCATTAGGTTTCAATGGAACAATTGATTTTTTTCCTTTTGTTTGACTAAGCTTTATGTTACAGGAGCTTTCAATGTTTACTCCCTTCATTGTTGTGTAACTTGTTGCTCCAGGTGTGTTGTTGGTTTTCTAACCACATGGGGGCTTCCTTATCTCCATGGTTGTCGCTGCTAAGTTTGCAACCTACTGCAAGTCATGCTGATTGCTAG